ACTCAGTAGAAGTAATATATATATATTTTGAATATTTCAATAAATTAAGATTTGGATACTTTTTTTTTAGTTTCTATTTTAAAACAACATATTGAAGCTCTTATGTGGTAAAGTATAATATTTATACCTACCTGTAGTATTTTAATTTCTTTGGCAAGTAAGTTCTGAGATTTTGCAATATTCTTCTTTGTAATACTTTTAATGGCCACAGGTAGATCACATTTCTGAAAAAGAGATATGTCTGATGTATATTAATTTGATGTTTTAAAGGTATGCATGGAGAGGCTAAAAACTCATAAATAGAAAGATAACACTGCAAGAAAGTAAAACAATGTATAGTATTAACAAAACTACTTTCTTCAAATTAAATGAAAAAATTAATTTACCATGTCTAAAACTCTATGGTTACTTTAAATTATTAACTTTATCCACTGTTAATCCAGCAGTCTAAAAGGTAAATGTAGCATAACTCTTGGTAAAATAAAAGAAATATCTGAACAAGGAAAATGTTTTATCACAAGTAAAAATAACAGGTTCTAGAACAAATAATTATTTTTAACATCTAAATGGCAAAATAACTGAACAATGATCCTTTCTAATATTACATAAAATAATATTTTTAAAAGAAAAATATATTCAAATCTTCAAAAAAAACTTAGTAATGTGTGATACACATACATGGATGTTAAATATTAATGAAGTGAAAAACATAAGTTCCCAAAAATCCAATAAAAAGACAAAGGAAGAGTTTTAATAAACTTATGAATACATAGTAGACCTTTATATCTAAAAAGAATGTGGCTATCTAACAAAATTTAAAAATAAGTCCAATTAACAGCATAAACCACCTCATAAGGCAAACCATTCTTTATATTTACATACATACTTCTAATAACAAAAAATTTGAGAAAAGGCTGCATTTAAGCTTCCAAGGTTTAAACATATTACTTTTGTTATTCAAGTCTGTATTTCCTACTTTTTACATTCACAATCGCAAATGCAACTCATACAGATATTGTTTCATCCCTAAACAAACTTGAACATCTGCACCCCAGATATAAACAAATCCAAAAATCCTAAACTTATTAGCATTAACACAGTTTACATTGAAAGTGATTAGAAATCATTCTAGCAGCTCATCTTTGCACTCATTTTTTACACGTTGATATTCTTCCTGTAATAATAAGACCAAAACTTTAGATAAAACTTTAAACCAGTTTGCACAAGGCTACAATAACCTTCTTTACTCTTTCAGCATAGGCTCAGTTCCTCAGACTGACCTCCTAACCATTTTGTGCTTTATTTAGTTTTCATGCTATAACTTTTAAATTAGTATGCAACTGTTAACAAAATTTGCCAGATTATCAGTAAACATTCCAATGCTTTCATACGCAATATATAATCTTTTTTTTATGTCTTAAGGTTTATAAAGCAATGTTTTTCTCATGTCTATTTTCTCTTTTCACATTTTGCCTATCTATCATGCAAAGTAATATTAATTTTAAGATTAAAAATACTTTTATGCATCAGAAAATGACTTTTCTACATTGATTACTCATCTTCATCAACTCTACTTGTCTGTAGCTCCACATCTAAGTTCTCTTGCAGTAGATGCTTTAAGTGACTTGTGAGTAAACCACTTCCTTTTTTCACACCCATCACTATGTCTTCTTCCTCGGGTCCTGGCCAAGATCAGTTACTCATAATGCCAGGTTCTCCTTATCACTTCACTTTGGCCAGCACAGATAATGGTTTCCCCTATTAAATCAATTTTCTCACAGGGAACCAGTCTTATTACCACAATGAACATTTAGCCATTTAGCCATTGTCCAAAGAGCCAGATTTTCCTCACAAATACCTTGAGTGTTAGATCATTCTTGCAGATGTTCTTCTCTGGTTGCTTATCAGTCTCATTGGGCTATTTTCTGGAGTTGATGCATCAGAAATGTCTAAAGCTTGTTTATCTCTAACTACTGTCTTCATGTATTTGTTATATAACTATGGCTTATCAGTTTCTTCCACAGCTGCTTACAAAGCTTCCTTATCTGTCATCTTCAGATGCCATGGAAGCTATTAATCCCTTTCGTTTATTATTCAAAGACCTGAGCTATTCATCTTAAATGACATCCAATTCCTTGACATTGTCTTAAATGGCACTTGGCTTCCATCCCATCCTTGAACCTTCAGTGACTTGTCCACTCTTATCATGTTTCCTTTTATTACTATCATTGAGCAGGTAGTGTTTTTACATCTATATCCCTCAATGCTTCTTGAACCTTAATTTCTCACAAAACTTCATAGTTGTACCATGATATACTACTTACTCCATTCAATCCTGATTCTCACTCAGAAGAATGCTTTTTATGTCCTGTCAGGGCTATCTGTTGTCTCATATATACTGAAACTGCAAGTACCTTTCTCATTCTTGTATAGTATTCAATACCTCCGAGACAAGATGACTATTTTCCATATGATGTGTCATAGCTCCAACAAGTATGAGTTACACCATACTGCTTTATATTCATCTTTCATAACATATTTGGTGCTCCCATTACACTGTCCTTGAATTGTAGAGCTTGTCCTCAGACCTTCTTGGGTCTTTGCAATTCTTTATACGTGCCCACTGGCTCAGCCACTTTTGTAACTTGGCCAGCCTTATTGGATATAGATATATGGGCCTTAGCCCTAGAAAAACACTCAGTAATTAGCTGTTACTGATCGATTCCTCTTAGAATCTTTCACCACAGATACAGGACCCTGACTACCTTCTACATAACCAATTGCAGCTACACCTCAAAATGTGATGGTTCCACCACCTCACATCCCTTTTTTATATATGATCTAACCCTTCCATTACAAGTTAGGTGGATTCCACCCAGCTCTGAGAGTAATTATACTACAATTTTTGATAATTTATGTTTATCTTCACAAATTTTTGCACCTTATTGGTAAACATTACAAGGCTTTCATATAAAAAAATATCAGGTTTTTAAATTAAGTATTAAGATTTTTTTAATTAAAGATTTTGTCATCAAATTTTTTTCTTTCAAAATTCAGACTATCCGACATGCAAAGTAATTTTGACTTTAAGATTAAAAATACCTTTCTTTGTCTGAAAGTCATCAAGTTTTGTTTGCATAATTTCTATATCCTCCTAAATAACCATCAAGCATTTTTTGAATAAAACTTTATATTTTATCAACCTTAACCCTATATGGTGTCAGTCAATTTGACCAACCTCGTAACCATCATAAAAATTAGGAAATAAATCTAAATTACCCTTTCTTTTGTTCTAGAATGACTGCAAATTGCCACAGGAAACCCCAAACATTGATTCTAAATAGCTCAATTATTGTAACAGCATGTGTCTCTTTATATTTTTAATTTTTTTTATTGACCTTTGAACCATGTCTGATTGAAAATACCCGACACAACTTGAAAATTACACAGCACATGTGCAGCTCACGCTACCATATCAAATAGCATAGTACACAAGCTTTTTGCTAGTATAATCTATGAAGATATTTTTTGTTTTGTTTTTCATTATCTTACCTAACAAATTTCTATTTTTATGATTTTGGTTACTTTTATAATAATAAATAAAGAAACAAATGAAAAAATAAATAACCTTGTAATTAAATATCAAACACTCTTTTCATTAAAACTTTATATTTTATCTGTTATTTCCTCTACTGTAATATTATATTTAATTCTCTAGGTTGTATAATAAAAATAAAGGTTGCAATGTGCAAAATAAGATGCATAGTATTGTTATATTAATCTCAAAGTTTCAAAGAGTTTCTACTTCCCACCTTTTTGCACTTATTTTCTGTAGTAATTTTATTGTTCGAGCTGACTTAGAAACTAGATAAAACAAAATGAATAGCATTGTCTGTCTTTATCTAAAGTAAAATTCCTGATAGTTTCTTCTAATCTTTCTACATCTATTTCCTATGTTTATTCTACTGTTAGCAGTTTCTTCTAATCTTTTTACACCTATTTCCTATGTTTATTCTACTGTTAGCAGTTTCTTCTAATCTTTTTACACCTATTTCCTATGTTTATTCTACTGTTAGCAGTTTCTTCTAATCTTTTTACTACCTATTTCCTATGTTTATTCTACTGTTAGCTGTTTCTTCTAATCTTTTTACTACCTATTTCCTATGTTTATTCT